ACCGTAAATATCGGAATATTGAACAAATACTCAGAATTAACAAATATTTGTAACCAAATCTCGATTCGAACGAATTCCGATCAAATATTGCTCACGTTCACGTTTTGTTATGCACGCGCAAATTATAAAATAGCTTTTATATGAACTATACAAGATAAAGAGGTACCGACGTTTTTATATATACAAGAGAAGAGTCCTATTTCCCATATCGCTAGATTAGAGTGACGAGCGAGCGTTTACGACGAAATATGAACTATATAAAATAAAGAGGTACCGACGTTTTTATAATATTTACAAAAGAAGAGTCCTATTTCCCATATCGCCTAGATTAGAGTGACGAGTGAACGTTTACGACGAAATTGTCGTCACCAATGGAAGTCCATTTGACACTAAGTATCCATATATTTATGGTCGCTGATGTCGTATTACACAGTCGCACGAGAATCGGGGGAATGTGAAATCTCGAGGGCTACCAATGAGTCGTATAATATGACGCGCTCGTAACACAGCCATCGTGTGCCAGGCACGAATCAGAGGAACGATGAAGAGAGAAGCTGCAAAATACGGCGGTATGACGACGGGGGCTCAACATATGGCGCGTAGGCGCGCAAAAGCGAGTCGCGGGCATTTCGACGCGGAGCGATCATCGATATGTGGGCGGAACTTTGCCGTAGTACCGTTCTCGCGATGGTCCAATAATGAGTCATTTGTCTGGCGAACGAGCTCCGTATCTGGCAGCGCCGTAAGTCTAAGAACAAAGATTTCGAGAAAGCGCTCGTGCTGTAACTCAAGATAGAACGGCGATCGAGAGATCGAAAATCGACTATAGATTAATTGAGCCTTAGAGAAAAATCATCTGAAATCTTACGGAGATTACGTAGAATTTTGATGAAATTGTTTTCCTTATACCTGAGACACTTTCCTCTTAAATCATTCCAAGCCCAATCCACGCGTCTGTGAAGCAGGAAGCGTCTGGAAATTCAGGCCGCGTTATAAGACAGGTGGAGGAGAAGCCGACAAGAAGACGTCGACGGCTTTGTCGCAGGCGGTGCCGCGCCGAGAGAGAGATTAAAAGAGTGGATTGATATGTGAAACGGCCGCGAAAGAGTTATTATGCGCAATTAAGCGGTTAGAGAAAAATAAGAGGCGGATGTCTCCCCTGCGTGTCGCTAAATTACGGCGAGCGAGTTTATCGGAGCGAAGCCTGTCAGCATGCGAAGTAGCCCCGCACGAGACACGACGGAATCACGGATATTTACTCCGCGACGAAGCTATACACCTCTTTATCTTTTAATTATATTTAATTGCACGCAGATAAAGAGAAATAATTGTAAAAATACATATTCTTCATACGTCAATTATTTCTATTCTTACGCGTTAATTTCCTGCAAAGAACTTTTTCTTCAAGTGTCAAGAACGATATCGACACCGCGAATATCAATCGGCATTCGCAAGAGTGAAAATATCGCGTCTGTACGTTTATCAGATTCAAACGTCGCCAGATGAGACGTGCTGAAATATCTGACGAAAAATTAGATTGATCCTCTGCCGTGTGTTTGCCGAGTAATTGCTCAACTTTCCTACGCGTTGCGCCCCAACGCGGTGGATTCCGCGAGGATTTTAATATTCCCTTTACTTTTCCGTTTCTGTATCCGTTTCCCCTTCCGTCGAAATCGCTCGCGAGGCAAGGCCTTTAATAGTTCTGTTTGCTCTTTGCCGTTTCCCTGTCGCGAGCGCACTTTGTCGCACCGAAGCGTATAATTACGGATACGGCGACGGTTTTTAATATTTTTGCCGTTTTCTCTCTCGTTGACTTTCCGTAGCGACCGCTCTCGCGCCGCGACTGCGAAACTCTCGATAATCCTTTCTTTGTGTCGCTTCTTCTTTATTAGCCTTGCCGTTTACTATAAAGAAATATTAAATACATCGCTACCTTCATGTTAACACACACATTATTATTTAACATAAAATAAAAGAGCAAAGTTGTAAACAGAAATACACGTTTGAATCGCTGTGCTCTTGAGGGAAGTCAAACAACGTATTTAAAAAAATTTGACATATTTAAGGATTTTACACGCTAATAAATTTTTAACGTATTTAAAAAAAATTTGACATATTTAAGGATTTTACACGCTGATAAAATTTTTCGCGGTTCTTCTCAATGGTCTTTTACAATTTTCCTGTAGATGTTATCCGTCCGACAAACGATTAATGTTATGAAACGGATATTATCTGGTGACGTGTTCTCCATTACACTATCTGCTTTTGACTATGATTGAACCGACCAACTTCCCGGGGACATCAACGGATAATAGAATGTAGCCGTCGGTCCGCAATTCGCGCGCGCGTCGCGCATTTGGAAAACCTAATTAGGCTGGACAAATATGTAGCGTCGATCCCCGCAGCGAAAAGCAATTACGTCTCTGTCGCTTCTCGATTTGTAGGTTTAATCGTCTCGACGAGTATGCAAACTGCCCGAATAGCGCGTCGATTGCTGTATTTCGCCAGTAAATCCGTCCAGCCTAGATGTATACTCATGCGCGCGCGTTCATACGAGATCCGATTAGAACTGGCGAAAAATCTACCGTCGGTATGCCTCGACGCCTGTTTGATTGAAAAACATTTGTCTGTCGCTAAAAAATACACATGTCGATTTGACAAACAACGAAAATTTTTTTCTTTTGCAAATTAACATTTACGTCGCATTTCGTTTAATCTAATTTCGTTATTTTCAAGTAATGCTAAATCGAATCAAACCGATACCATCAAGAAGAAGAAATTACACATTACTCAAAAATATTAAAAATATAAGACAATGTATATCAAATTTTCGAAGAAAAAAAATCCACTTTTAATCTAATTAAGAAATTAATAAGTAAAAAGAACGATTAATTTTAGAAGATTCATTGTGTCGAAATATCGTTCGACAACTTTTTTTTGGCAAAATTTAATCCGTGATGGTTTTATCGTTTTAATACTACAAGAATTACACACGAAATCGTATTTTATCGTTTTGAAAAATCGCTTCTCTGTTTCCGATAGCGTCTCTATTTCGAATCTTTTTCTGTACGGGATGATATTCGATTACCGACGATACACGCTGTCTATGATATACACGCGTAACATTTCCTTTCTTTTACTTCCAAGTCGACGATTTGAACCACCGAATTGGAAAAGCTGAAAATAAAATTCAAATGTATACGACGACGTTACCGTGAAAGTCACATGCTCATGTTAGGTATAGGATTAACATTAAACCGTGGGGATGTGATATTCTTGTTCTATTTTAAAATTCAAACATGCGGGAACACGCTCGCGATTGAAGCACCGGCTTACAGCATTTCCACTGAAAAATATTTCTTTTTACAGAGACACACGACATTTTTTTCTGGTAAAAACTAGAAAATATCCCCGCGCCGCGCGGTGACGGTAACGTTGCAGGACGCGCGCGGAAATTTCAGAGATCCGACAGACGGGATTGCTCGATGCCAGACTGTTACACAGCTATTTCTACATTTTTTTTTGTACCGCTCGCTCGATTTCACATTATCTATCGCATGGAAACAAGGCATGCAGTATTAAATGCTCGCTATACATTCGAAACCGTGTCGGCAAACACACGCATGAGACGTATAGGGACGATTGCTCGCGCGAGGGTTTGCGAGGCATAATAGAGCAATTATACCCGATAAAATGTGCGAGAAGAGGGGGGAGAGAAGGGGTAATCGCGACAGGCGGGGAGCTACGCGATCCGTTTACATTACCGGGCGAGCTTAATTGTAGCACCGGCAGGTACCAATTTCTTGTGTCGCGAGATTATACCGCAGACGAGCCCGGAGGCCTCGTTCTGCACGAGGCGATGTACGTTTCTTCCTTTCCCGGTCGACGTCTTCTTCAAGCTCCCCCTCGTGTTTCTCTTATTCCCTCTATTTATACGCGGTTCTACCTTTTCGTTCGTACCGAACTTCAATTAATACGTTTCCTCGAGGAATGTAAGTCGAGCCACCACCAATTTGCGTTTCGAGAGCGCAAGTGTAGGTAAGGGAAAACGTCGTCCACCTCTTTATTCCGAGACAGATTTTTACTTTCCGACGTTTTAAGATCTATTTGCCGAGATATTTAATCGTCTTATAAATTGATTTCCATCTGGCCGCCGTGGCGTCTGTCATTAGGATTTAATGCGATAAAAGCGCTATGTATATTTGCTCTCGAGGGGGGCGGTCGCTCTTATTGCTGCGACTACGATTTTCCACGTTAACTCCGCGATTTTATATTCCTCGTTCTCTTCGATGTGATTTCCCGCGAAATCTTATTACTCGGCGTTATTACTTCAGCGCGTTTCAAGTGTTTTTTATGAATATTCCGAACTCTCGCGGGGGGGGGGAAGGAGGGAGGGAAATGCAAATATGTATGCAGTCGCGTATAAAACTCGGCGCTCGAAGGTATTAATAATATCATTGGACACGGTTCATTAGATCTTACCTATCGTAATTACTATTATCCTGGATATGAAAATGTTTCCAGCTAATGCACTAAGCGTAAGCTGTATTTACGATCGCGGAAAGTCGTACTCGGCGCAATTTCGCGCAATGTACGCGCGTATTTTTTTTTTACAAAAATTCTAATCCCGCATATATGTAGCGCTGCAAGAAGTTATTATTATTATTTCAAGTCACCGCCGTCTGTCTCTCTTTCTCTCCCGGAGATCGATTATTATTTTAATATCGGCTTCCTGACGAATATATAACAGCTCCCGTCCTCGTAAAATATAATTGCAGCATATTCTATTATACATTCGAGGCACGTTGCCGCTTACCTGCTTATTATCGCATTCGAATTATAGTGGAATAAATGATTTTATTAAATCCATCGCGAATTAATTGCATTAGATGGTTACCTGTTGGATATTCAATCAACGGCAAAATATTATAATTAATATCGTTTTTCGTTCTCTCTCACGCACGATCCGCTTATCTTGAGGGAATACATATATAAACAGATTTACAAAGAAAATTGATAAAATTATTTTATTGACGTATCATGGTAAATTTGTCGTGTTTCAAAATTTCTTCAATTTCGTATTAAATACAAATGATCCATTTATATGAAGAGGATATTTTCCGCCTAGTTGCGCCTTAAAAAAAAACGAGGACTATCTCTAATTTGTGTCAGACGTACAGAACGTTTTTCTCGTTTTTGAAGCTTCACGCTACATCAAGTCGCGCTAAATGTACGACACGTGACATCGTCGTTAGCCACGTGGAACATTCCTCGCTCTAGATTTAAGTGATGAGTAAAGCTCTCGACGGCGCGATCATCCGTTCATTTCTCGTCCGCGCGGCGGAAAAAGAATGTTGTTTTTAGGGCGGTTCCGGATTGAGTCTCGGACCGAGAAGCTCGCGTCGCCGTTGTTTTACGGCCTTATGCCGGATTCCGTCGACTGATTAATTTTCACGAGCGTAAGAAGATATTTACGAGGCGGCCATGTGCCATAGTCGCTTATTTTTCCTCTCCCCGGACCTTCCCGGCGAAGATTTCGCGCGATCTTTCTCCTTCTCTGTCTCCCTCCTTAAAATCTCTCTGCTTACTCGCTCGCGTTCGCTTCCGCGGCAGAGAGTATTTTGCATAAATGCAATTTTAGGCGGGATCGCCTCTCTGCCGTCTCTGTCTGTACTTTAAGCAGGGCTTAAAGTCCAAATTCGGGCCGTTGGAGAATTAGACATCTGAACTGAACAGCAGTTCGAGGACGGCTTAAATTCTTCACAGCTGCGGGTTACTCCGAGTTTAAGCTAATCTGGGTATATGGTGAGAGTTAATTGGAATTAGCCTAGATAGAGAGACACGGTGCATATAATAACACGATTTGAATTCCTGCACTATGCCGTGTCGCTACTTGGAAAATACGAGCGCGAATAATACTATTCGAAGAAATGGCAGAGAGTCACACGAGAAAGACTCTTGTTTCACGGAAAGGATAGCCGTTCGGCCGTTATTACTAGTAATTAATAATCAACCCGGACCGCGCGCGGTTCTCTCTCGCGCTCGTTAATAACAGCCGCGAACACTCGCGAGAGAGCGGGAGACTCGAAAGTCAAAGTGTTAAACGCGACGTCGTCGGTGCGTGGGGACGAGGGTCGTCATAAAACCCCCGGTTTAATTGTTCCGGTTGAAAATCAAAGTGGCTTATTTACCGCGCCGGACAGGTGAAATTGCGGACGAAACATTTGTCCGGCGGCGTCGACAAATAGCGAAACCCGAATAATCCGCAGCAATGATAAATTGGGAATAATGGAGGGTAAATAATAACGGTTCGTGTATGTGCCGTGCACCCACGCGACGATCCTCGGGCGCGACCCTTCCCCCCTCCCCCTCCCCCTCGTTATCGTTCCCGCCACTGTAAATTTCCCACATGCCCGACACGTTCCCCGGCTATCGCGCCGTATACAGCCCCGCGATCCGCGGCTGTATATCATTTATTCTTACTTTCATGCTGCTGCTGCTGCTGCTGCTGCTGGCTTTTATCGTGAAACGCGTTATTCGTTCCGTATTCCCTCGGGTGAGCAGCTCGCTTGCCCACCCGCCGTTGTTCCGCCTCCTCTTTTTTTTTTCCTAGTGGATTTTTCTTTCCGCGTGCGCACTACCCACGCGGGTCTCCCTCCGGTTCCACCATTTCCTGGCGCGGAAAACGCCGTTTGCGGAAGATCCTGTCAGCCGGGAATCCGTCGTTGTCTCCGACAACGGAACTGCTCGCGCGCGCGTCTCTTTTTTTCTGCATCTCCCCCTTTCCTACTGCCTTCAAAAAGCCTCGTGTTCTCTGCAAACAGCTGCGGAGGCTGCGCCGCGGCGCACTGTATCCGAACTGTCTACATAAGCAATTAGCGGAATTTCTGAGGCTGAAGATTCTCCGGAGATCTCGGTGAAGGATCACCGCAATTATGCAGAGAGAAATCGTATTATTATAATTCGAGAATTTCTTGAATTTTGCGTTGCTTAACAGTCAATCCTTTTCTCGTCGCACTTCAATGTAATACTCTATACTTATATTTACTTTATTTTTAAAAGAAATCTTGTTAATCATATCAAATATTGCGATATATATTGCGAGAAAAGGAATAAAAGTATATTGTGTGACGGTTACTGCAGTATAGTTTCGATAGTGATGGAGTCAGCGTTCCCTCTCGGAAATAATACCGTCCACGAACGATCCTAGAACTCCCAACTTTGGGTGTTAGAACCCAAACACGCATTTTCTTTTCGATCCACGGTCGTCGACCGTTTATCTTCCTGCGGGAAGCCATCTCGCACCCTTCGCGAAGAAAGTTCACCCTCCCGACACTTGAGATAGCCATTAACCTCGAAAAAGCCAGATGCGATTTTCTCGACGGACTGGCAGAAATTAGTTCGCGGTTACTTGGTGAAAGGCAGCACGCGCGGCGTCGTGCCATTTATTAGATCGTCCGGGATTACGAATTGCGAATACCAAAGTCCGCGGGCAACTTGGCACTTTAGCACTTAGTAAGATATGACCCCGTTCTGAGGGACACTAACTAAATTGATTGGTACTCGCACAGAATAATATAAGTCAGTACGAATTGGAATTAAATTTTTAAGGGTAGTCATATATCTTATTGTTATAGTCGTGAAATATGAAGTCATTCGCGTAGCAAAGCTATCATATAAATCATGTTCAACTATAGATTGAGGCTTTATATCATTTTCATTGCTTCAGCTATGCAATTGTACCACGATTAAGTTGCATCAAAATGAATTGAGGATCGATAGGGCAACGTTCGCTTTATTTATCGAACGTACGTCTTATGACGGAGCGAAGATCAACGACGAGAATTACGTATGCCATATTGTCCTGCACGCTCCGGCTGAAGTATTTCTAGCCGCTATTACGGCGGCGGATACAAGATCGACATCTTAATCAGCGTCGGTAGACGATATAACGCGAGCATGCTGGAGCAGAGAGGTGGAGGAGAGGAGAGAAGACGGCGCGACGGGGCGAACGGAGATGACGGAAGACGGAGGAGACGATACACGGCTATGTAGATGGATGCAATTTATTATGTCCTTGAACGAGCAGCGAACGCCTCGGCTCGAACGTGGAACGAGTCGCAAAGTTTGCGCGCTTTAGACAGTACGAAATACAAGGGACAAACTACGGGGAGTAATAAAGTTGCTGCGACGTGGCGGCTGATTTAATAGAAAATATGCAGATTACGGCGGCGCGCGAGCGGCGTGGAGGCCAAGTTAAATAAGGAAGGGGAAGGGCGCAATGATGCGCCTCTCTCGCGTCTTTATCGAAGCCCTGCCGCGTCATTAAAGTAATGGAATGCGCGAGCGAGACGTTTTCGCGACGCGTTAACTCTCCTCGAGAGCTGCGAGATTTCGACTGGGATTAGAGCCACGCAGTCTGCCTTCCGCGTGTCAGATCGATTCCTTAGCTTTCGAGACGATAAAAATGTCTGTGAGATCGAAGTGGCTTTGTGGCCGCGCGGGACGCAAGAATTGTTACCAGCGTTCGTCGGGAGTCGCTAATACACGTTTATTCGATTGGCAAGAAAATACGGTACAAGCGTTCCATATCAATTTTCGAAAGTACCCAACACGTGGCGGAAATAAAATTCCTCGAAAATATCTGGGAGGTAATACGAGAATATCTGCTGTAGTAGCGACATGTGCGGAATTGGAGAAACGTTCGATTGGAAAAGGGAGAGACCCTTCGTCTCGGAACACAAGCGATACCCAGGTAGCTATACGAAGCCGGGGGTTTTGCGCCCGACACGCGATAAAGTATAAAAGGCGAGGCGTATCCGATTATTTCGATCACAAATCCTACGTAAGATTAATAAAGTTTCGATCGCGCAGTATTTCTCTATACACGGGCAATCCTGAACGATACGCGGCGCTCCCTCCCCTCCCTTGTGGGTCGTTATTTCGGCAAGGGCGAGGAGCGGCGATCACAGAGAACGCTCCGCTCTGTCTGGCGGAGCCGCGTAATTCACTCGAGAGTGCGTGCACGCACGGGTACGCGAGACCAGAAGCTCGAGCAGCTCGCGGGGAAAAAGTGCTGTTTGCTCCCGCCTCTCCCTTTCCCTTTTTTTTCCCCTTGCCTCCTTTAATAAGGCGCCGTCTTTGATGTGCTTACGCTCGCTTACGCTCGCTGCCGACTTTGCGTATGTACGCACCCGACCTCGCCCCCCCTCCCCCGCCCCCGATACGGGGAGGAGAATTTCGCCAAGGCGGACGTGCCTTCGGAGTCGTGCACGCGCAGAGAAGCGGCGAAAGACTTGAAATTTCGCAAACGATAATAATCCTATGCGTTTTCCTCTTAAGTAAATTACAAGGCCGGATGAAAAAGAGATGCGGGAGTCCTCCTGCGAAGTGCGCGCGATTGCAGTAATATAAGAATCGCAATAAAGATTGCGATAAAACGATAATAAAATTGTAACGGTACGGAAGAAAGGTGTGTGCGTACATTTATTAATCCCGCGCTCCGACAGCTCTACTATTGTTATAACAAATTATCCTCGATCCAGATGCGAGCTCGCAGTGTAGTGGCGCGCGCGCGCGGGCACGTGCGAGCGCGAGTGTGTTCGGGCGAGTACACGAGAGCGTGGGCGGTGTAGCGACGGCGGAGGAATTTCAACTCGTCGAGGAAACGAGTAAGTGCTCTCGTTGTTGCACGAGCTCTATACTACGTGGCCGACCTACGAAGCTTACACACCGTGTCTGGCCTGCAATACGACGCCCGCGGCAGCGCGCAGCGGTGTATTCGCGCTGCACTTACGCGAAGGAGCGACGCGGCATCGATCGGGTTTAATCTCATTTTAACCTTCCGAGGTACATGGCGTGCAACTTTTAAAACTGCCTTTAAGGACCCGGGGATCCACCACCGAAATAAAGAGCTCGCTCGCAGACGCGGCGCGTATCCGCGCGCGTGCAAATTTTTATATCGTTGCCACATTCGTTTAGTTATACTACTTGCTGTCAGTCGTTCAGAAAACCTTATTTCGACGAGAGTGTAATGTAATATAAAGAAGATAAAGCAAAGAGGGGAGAAAAAGAGAGAGAGAGGGAGAGAGAGAGAGAGAGCCCATATGCTTTAGAGGAGCTCGTTTAATGTTATATGCTCGCTAAATATTTTTAATGCGACGCACATTACGAGAGAGCATCGCATTATTTTGCATCTCCCTGCCGTCCTCCAAAGGTTTACGTGATAATTCCGTGTATAATCTAATAAAACGAAACTCTTAATAGCGTGGACATTATTTACTCTTTATCTCGAGAAATTAGCTAAATGAAAATACCTTTAGTCGATGTTCCGTAGTTGGATTATTCGATTGTATGTTTGTTGAATTTCTAATATCTAACAATAAGTTTAAGTTTGAATCTTTCAATTAAATTAAGCTCTCCGATTAGCTAGTAGAACTTTGTCATTTCGCTCTGATTCTGTAAATTCCTTACGCTCCATATTGTCACATAGGGGCCAAATCGAGTTATCGCAACTGCTAATACGGCATATTTGTAGCTGTTTGCAGCGTCGCAACAGCTACAAATGTACTTCCCCCTCCCCCCAACTTCACCGTCTTCCCACCGATTCATGGACGTTTCATTAGCCTCAGCGGTTCGTGAGAGAACGGTTAACGTGGCGATACGTGAAGGTGACGTTTGTCGCCATCGCGAGGCCGTGAAGTGTCGAGGCGACTCGGTAACACGTATTTCAGGGTTTACGAGTGTCGTTGGACTGCCGAACAAACGGACGGACGGCGCTTCCCCGCGGCGCCACGAGTGTCTCGAATACAATAAAAACGTCATGTGTGCGTGTGTGTGTGTGTGTATGCATAGATATATGCATGCTATAAAAGACTGTTGAGCGTGAGTAGACTTTTTTAAATTAAACAATCTAAATAAAGAATGAGCTTTAACTTCTGATGTTCTCTACTCCGTCTATATTAGTTATGTATATAAATCTACTTCTTTATTCTTTCTATTATTCTTAAATTAGAGTCCTACTTCTATTTTCCTTCAGATGCTTGTCGCATTACTATTCACGAAAACGTATGTATATAATATGTCAATGTATGCGAGTGTCCACATCACAGTGAGCTCGAGTCCGTGGATTTACTATAGGCCTAAATGACTGTGAGGATAGCAGTCATATCCCTGCGTGGAGACGAGCAGATTTGTTTGACACGCTGCCTGCCGCGGCACCTAATAAAAGATGCTAATATATATATGCCTCCCTCTAGGAAACCGGCGAGCGCCCCGAGACAGTCGGATAGACGTGAGCGCCTATAACTCAGACGGCAGAGAAACAGAAATCCGAGATGTTTGGAACACCCGGAAAGCCCGAGCAGAACGGGAGAGCAAGAGAGAGAGAGAGAGAGAGAGAGAGAGAGAGAGAGAGAGACAAAAGAGGAATTTCAGTGTTTAGGAAACGACGCTATGTCGCGTCTGTCGCGAGACGACGAGAATAACGACGCGAGAAACCGGAGACGGATCGGTCCAAGTTTGCGCGCTCCTCTCAAAAGTCATCTCGCGGCGCTAATTAATCCCATACGAACGAAGAGATTTTTTTTTACGTTCGCAAATAAAAGAACAGGTTTGCTCACCGCGGTGGTTTGCTCGCAATCCTTAGCCCATTTAAGCAGCTTCCATCTCCATTTGTCCATGATTTTTATTAAGTAATCGTTCCGTTCGTTTTTAGCGAGCCGGAGAAAATGGCTTTT